TGCTTAGAATAGACATCAACATTTTCACATTAGCTGCATACTTTCTCACAAGACCTAAAAGATAACATCAGAAATAACCTGAAAAGGGGAAAAAAAAAGGAAGGGAAAAGCACACACACACACACACACACACACACACACACACACACAATATACTTAAAATGATTATACTACTAATTTCTCTTAGTTCATTGAAAAGAAAGGTTTGTGTTAATATTGTTTGGACAATTAAATGGCTATATCTTACACTCTGAGTAACTAATTTAAAGATAACAGTATGCAGTGTATTAAACATTTTTGCTTTTCTATTATCTTGTTTTGAAATTTTTATTTTTTTCCTCTTCAAATTTAAAAATGATTTTCTTATGTACATGAAATAAAAGTTAAAAAGAGAAACAAATACTTATGTGAACTACAATATAACTACAAACAAAAGTCTACTGCAGAAACAATCTTTGCTTCAGTTGTCATACTTGAGGCAGTCTTCGCACATGAAAACTGCATGTTCCATGCACAAGTATCGCTTACCCCAATGTTTTGTTTTCCTGTCCTTTTTTGTAGAGCATAGCTGACATCTTTTTGGTTTTCCTGTTGCTGTAATAGGGCTTTGTGATGTTACACCTGGCTGTTCACCTGTGAGCTACCAGTGTTTTGGGTTTTTTTTTGCAGTTCCCTGGGCGGCAACATTTTGCTCTTTCTTTGTTGAAGTGATCTCTTATGAATTCCAGTCCCAATCCTCTAAGAAAATTTCTCCATGATATTTTGCACTTGTTATTTTCTTTTGTAAACTATCAAACTATTCAGGCCACGTGCCCAGGATTGAGTAAAACACAGCCATCGGTCAAAGCTTTGTATTTCGAGTGACATCATAGTTGCTGTGTAACTCAGGAAAAATGTCTACTCTGCCTTTGCTTTTGTTGTAAAAAGTTACCAGCTCAGGCTTCAGGTGTGTCGAAGTTTCTCTGTCAATTTTTCCATCGTGGTGCAGCATTGACATCAGCAGTCCCAGTTTTACTTTGCTGCATACGAGGCCAGTGTTGTATCTTTCTGAAATCCAGAGACTGTACTATACAATTCTGTTTTGAAACTGCAACCTTGCATTGGGAATTTCTGCATTGCTCTTGGATAGAGGTCCTACACTCTCCTCTGTTAGCAAACATAACATCAATCGGAAACTGGTAACAGTTATTGAATGTCACATTCCCATTTGGGGAATGGGATGAATTTCTAAATTGAAAGTATATGTCTTCACATCTGGCAGGGCAGATATTTTTACACTGTATTTGAAACCTGTTTCTGCATATACTACGTAAAGCTACAGAGACCAGGTTTTTCATGTACCATTGTACTAAATTGGGCTACTTCTACAAGAACAGTTGTAAGAAAACTTTTTTAAGGATACAAATCCCAAATGTAAGAAATTCAACCATGAGCATTTCATGGGTAAAACTCACCTGCAGCTGCTTTGCAGCTTCTGCACGCAGCTTGGCATTCATCTGCCAAGTAGCTGAATGCACGGATGGGCTCCTGCTTCCCCAGGCCCAGCCACTGTGAGCCACACCCAGATTCCCTTATGGCACATCAGATGTCTGCAGAACAGGAGAATGGTGTGTGTGTATGTCACCCTCCATGGTGCTCAGGGATGCACAGCAATACACGGAGCATCTTGCCCCCTGAGATGCTCAAGAATACATACACAAAAAATGCTACACGGACCATTATGTGAACAAAAATCTAGATTTGACACTGTTACATGGGTGCACACACCTTGCCATTCATTGCACCAAGTGGGTGAACACAAAGGTTGCTTTCTGAACCCCTCAGGCGCAGCTACTGAGGTGCAGAGTCAGCTACCGTTATGCTAAAGCACATAGTTTCATTAGAAAAGTACAGAATGGGTTCTCGTAACCCACAATAATGCCCCGAGGTAACAGTCCTCTCTCCCCAACTTCCCTGCTTAGTTCCTCCAGCCTTCAAACTCCTCATGAATCAGTGGACTTTCCCCAAGGTAATAGTGAGGCAGTGCAGCCAGCCACACTTGCTGAAAGAGTTCCAAGCACTGGCAGAGGGGTCTGAGCATTAGCCTCCAGCACTCCTCATTCTTCCAAGGCAGATGGATTCCTGCTGCCCGCAGGATTCTGTTGCACTGGCCAGTTCCCAGTGTGCCGGCAGTTCCAGGATTGGTGAGAGTAATGCCCAGGTTTTGGCTGCGCTTTCTAAGGACGAGGGTAAAACAACTACTCCAACTTCGAAATACCAAGTAATTGTGAATATTGTGTTTTAGTCTGGTACAAGTTTGTACAAGTACTTAAGCTGTACAGTATTACAGTACTGTGGTATTTTTTACTCACATTTTGACTTTTAGGGAAAAAATCAGATACTGATTGAAATACCTCTCAACTGGGAAGAACACTTGGCTGATTTTGGCCTTAGCCAGCATTGACCGGAGATGGATGCTTGGTCAGACCACATGATCTTTCTGAACTCCAGTTCAATCCTTTTTTAAATGAAGTACTTGTGTCACTCCAAGGCCTTTTTCTGCTGCAAACTTCTTTGTCTTTAATTTCTGACATCAAGATTTTTTTCTCTCTAATTTAGGAGCAGATGGCAGTGTGAAAATGGGATTTTTCAAAAAACTGCTTTTCAATTTGGTGTTTTCATCTGTCAAATTTTTGCCCAGTTCTTCCTAACACAACCTTTTTTTTTTTTTTTGAAAGAGTCATGTGTTAGGCAAAATGATTTAAGGATTGATCACAAGCTGGGCATGGTGGAGCACGCCTATCATCTCAGCACTCAAAAGAATGAGGCAGGAGGGTAGTGAGTTCAAGGCCAACCTGGGCTATATACCATGTATCCCCCAAAATAAGACCTAGCTGGAAAATAATAGGCCTTGAAAACTAAACATAAAAAATGCCAGCCCCAACCGGCCTATGTTTGCCTTACCTGCCAACACTGTTCTCTTGCTTAGTAAGGCAGGTTAAAAGAAAAAAGAAGGGTGGGCTGATTGAGGCTGGCATTTTTGATCTCTAGTTTTCACGGTTGATTATTTTCCAGCAAGGTCTTATTTTGGGGGAAAGGGAGGTTAGTGAGACCCTGTCTTCAAAAACCAAAAAACAATGGCAAACCACAAAACAAACAAAAAAGGATTTATCAAATAAGTGATAATGATATATATTTTATAAAACACCAGTCTTGCTTGTACATGCTATGAAAATTAGTATCCTTCACCCCAACCTTTGGACACCCCAACCCTGTGTTTCTTTGTGGAGTTAGCATGCATCAAGGAGCATATATTTACAGTTTTATTTTGAGGATGCAAAGTGGAAATTTTAAGCATGCCAGTAATAATCTCTGTGTATTTCACTTCCGTTGTACTTGTTAAATTTATAAACACTTACTGTCTATGTCAGTGTAGTTTAATAATCAAGAGAGGATTGTGCCTATTCTGCCAGACATCTCATTATGAAGCTTGACCCTTAAGATCATTTCTAAGACCATACAGCTCAACTATTGGATAATCAATTTGATGTCTAAAATAGACTTTTCTTTTAAAATACTGATGCAGCGTGTTCCCCTATGTTCTTTATACATCTCTTCTGCTCTGGCTCGCACAAGAGGGCGTGGCAATGACAGAAGCCAGTTCATGACCAGGAAGGAATGTGGGAGAGCCATAAGCACTGGGCAGTGTGGTCCTAATCTGGTCTTAAATATGTGCTTAAGGGATTCTGGTACTGGAAGATTGGGGGTTTAGGATTATTGGATCCTGGCTCTACCAAGAGTGAAGCTGTGGAAGGATTTCATCATTTTTCAGTCTTAGAAAAGCCACACAGAAGAGCCATACAGAGGAGCACACATGTCATGCACATAAAGTGTGATGACTTTGCACAAGCTGAACACACCCAAATGATCACTGCACACTAAGACCCAGCACATGAGCAACACCCTCAAAGCTCAATAATGCTTCTGACTGCTACGCTGTTCTTACTACTAGTTTTCCCCTGTAGGGAAATCACTGTCCTGATACATTAATCATGCATATTTTGTATGTTTTATAATGGGAATTACATGGTTTGTACTTTGTGTTGGGTGTCTTTTGCTCAGCATATGTTTGTGAGGCTGTACCCACACTGTCATGTGTAGCTGTAGGTCATGCTTCCTAGAGGACAGGAGATTGTACAAATTTACCACAATGCTCATACCCTACTGCTGATGAACATCTGGGCTTCCTGAGTCTAGCAATTATCAGTAGTTCAGCTATGGATGTTAATGTAGATAACTTGGTACAGCATTTCTATTGGATGGATGCATAGAATTTGAATTGTTGGTTTTGCAATGTGCTGTGTTCAGTTCCGGGTGGGAAGGCCAGCAGCGTGTAAGAATTCTGCTTACTCCCTGTGCTTCTTAACACTTGGTAGTGCTTGTCTTGGACAGCCAGTGGGGCGCTGTCACATTAGAAGGTAGGTACTATTCTCACTCCAGTTTTCAGATGAGGAAACGAAATGAAACAACTTGGTAGTATTTAACTTTACATAAAGCTAGAAGTCAAATAAAGTCTGAGTCCAAAATCCTCATTTTAAAACTATGTGATCTTTCCACCCCTTAACATGGTTTTGTTTTGGTGTTTTTTGAGACTGTAGTCCAGGCCTTAACCTCAAACATGCTATGTAGCTAAAGCTGGCTTCAAACTCATGAGTCTCCTCCCACATCCTCCTGAGTGCTGGGATTACAGGCATGTGCCACAATGTGTCACTTCTGAACTTCTTCATAAAAAATTGGAATAATTTGTATCTACCTCCCAGGGCTATAGTAACATTAAGATGAATTGAGCGATTGTTTCTGGGAAGTACCTCACAGTGTCTAGCAAATAGCAGTGTAGATGTGGTTTTTTGGTGTGGTTTTCATGATGGAAAGAATCATTGTGAACTTCTGATACACAGATCACTTCACTGTGGGGAAGGGATTACTGTTAAATAAATGGAGGTTTCGATTTTTCTTTATAGGTCCTGTCTGCAGTCTCTGTGTCTCATCTTTTGGAGCAAGATCTGTCACAATCTTCAGTGGCTTCATGGTGGCTGGAGGCCTGATGTTGAGCAGTTTTGCCCCCAATATCTACTTTCTGTTTTTCTCCTATGGTATCGTTGTAGGTAAGGACCTGGCTCACAGTCATTTTTCTGACTTTACAAATCACGTGCCACTTCACTAGTGCCAGGTATATTGTTCAGTTAATGTAAGGAATAGAAAAGTTTACTAATAATTTACTTTCAGTGACCGCTTCTCCCAAAATTGATGCTTTCGTATTATATCTCCTGCAAGGCACAGGGTGGTGGGTTTCAGTGTTAGCACATGTCTCTAAATAGCACAAAAAAGAAAAGTGAGAAGAAGAAAATAAAACTTAGATGTCATGATACGTGCCTCCTCTTAGATGTAGGAAGTGGCCCCTGCCCACTGGGTAGGGAAACAGTTATGTTAAGGCATTTGTGTCACAAAAGCTCTTTGTGATCCACAGTATCTTTTGTCAGGCCCAAACCAAAAGTTACAGTAGAAGTAAAAAGTATATTTTAAGACATGTTGTTTTGGTTTTAGGTTTTTTGAGACAGGCTTTCACTATGTACTCCAGTTTGGCCTTGAACTCCCTATGTAGACCAGATTGGCCTTGAACTTATGATGATCTTCCTGCCTCAGCCTCCTGCTACCAGGCCTGGATTTTTTATTTTTTAAATTTTTTAAATTTAAATTTTTCTTTGTTTCTTTTGAGACAGGTTCTCACTATGCAGTTCAGGCTGGCCTTGAACTCACGGAAGTCCTTTTGCCTCACCCTCCCTAATGCTGAGCTTATAGGTGTGAGCCCAGCAAACCAGTTTATTATGTGGCTCTTCTCAAGTAGGGGGCCTGGGGCTCTCTCCTCAAAGCAAAGTTTTTCAAAGGAGTTTGTTTTCACTTTTGCACTCTTGAATCAGTGAAAGGTAAGGTCTTACTGATTACCTAGATGCCTTCAAAGATCCTTTCCTATTTTCCTAATGCAAAGTACTTGGCTTCTTTTTCATCTTTTTGGGAAACATGCGCTGCTTTAGTCTTGCTGTGCTTTCGAGTGAAACTCAAAACTTTTAAAATCATTTAGCTATGTCATTTGTTTTGAATTCTCGATGTCAATCTGGCTAAAAGCCAACAACAGCACCCATTCCACAGCCTGAATGTTGGCTGTAAATCAGTTTACTACCCTTAATCTCAGTCTCCCACAGAGTCTCAGGACATGAGCAAAATACAGACAGATTTCCTGTCAGAAGCTAACACACGTGGCCTGTAGTACAACAGATGATCTTTATTCCTGAGATCTCCTGAGCCGAATCTGTACTGTATACATTTCTATCAGCATTCTGGTCTTCTGAGCTCTAACCAGAGTCTTTCATTAAGATTGCCTTACAGCATTCTAGGGCTTCTCTGGCCTGCATCTCTAAATTTTTCCAAACTCTTCCTATGAACCAGTCCCAAAGGCTTCTAAACCACTTGACCACGTATACACTTCTTTGGTACCAAAATTTGTCTTAGTCATTTTCCTGTCACTGAGATACAATATCCAGCACCCACAATTGAAAGGAGGGGGAGGTTCATTTGGGCTCATGGTTTTAGGTGTCAGTCCATGGTCTGTTGACTCCAAGGCAGAAACAGCACAGTGAAGGGGCCTGTGCAGAGGACAGCTGCTCGCATCACGGCAGCAGGAAACAGAAAGCATGAGAAGCTAGGAAGGGAGGTGTGCCCTTCTAGATTGAGCGCTTGGTGACATGCCTTTTTCACCCAGGCCCTATTTCCACATAGCACATGTAGCAATAGCACCACCATGATCAATTCACCTTCCAAGAACCCTGCCTTGAGTACATGACGTTTTGGGGGAACATTCTAGAGCTAAACCATAACAAAGGGTGAAATGTGCTGAGCATCCGTTCTAGGCACAATCATATTCCAAGGACCTTCTTATGTCTGGAGTGAGCTGGTGGCCTCATAAACTAGATCTCGTGACATAGAGGAAGCGTCAGCACTAACAGGCAGTCTTTGGGATCAGACCAAGTGGGTTAGCTGTATCTACTTCCCGTCTGTGAGGCTGTAAATGTGTTTCTTGTCTCCTTTTTTCTCATTTTTAAAATGAGCACCATCAGAGCATCATCTTGTAGGGTTTGGGAATGATCAGTGGCATAGTGCAAGGAAAGTTAGCTTGCATAACCACAATTACTAGTTTTGTGATCTGAAAAATCATTCAACTTCACTGAGCTTCCATGTTTATTTTTCATAAAGCAGACTCAGGAATTCACAGAGATAGTGTGGCTGTTTGTGAGGTAGTGCATAGTAAGAGGCACACAGAGGTGTTTAGTCCATGTGTGTTCCTTTCCTCTATTCCTTTCTCACCTTTTAGTTCAAGACTACAAGAGCAGTTTGGGGCTATTAAAGGGGCTCCACTGACTCAGAAATATTTGTGTAATAGAGTAATGAATATAGAAAATGACATTAAGCCTATATTTGATACCCAATTATAATCTAAAATATGAAAATAGGGCTGGGGATTTAGCTCAGCGGCAAAAGCGCCTGCCTGGCAAGCGCAAGGTCGTGAGTTCGGTTCCTGGTACCGGAGAAAAAACCAAAAACAAAACAAAAAAAAAAAAAAAAAAAAGAAAATAATATTAAAATATATTATTTGCCATAATTCTGTTTTACCAATTAATTCATCTTTTAAGAAATATAATCTTGCAAATATATTATCTTGTTTAGATTTTTATACTTCAGATAAAATGGTAGTGGGCCAGTTTTCAAGTGAATCAAAGTTACATAGCCAAACCTATAATTCAGACTCCTATATTCTCAATAACTTCAACAAAGCAGGAAAAAGACAGTGTGGTGCGGTGTGAGGTTAGGGATGTTCTGGGAAAGGTGTGATGATATAGGAAGGGAATTGCTGAAGCTTTTTTCTCATAATTTCTTACTGTTTTTCTGAAAAGTATACTTCTTAACATTCTCTTTTCTTCAGAATATATTGTTTCTTAACTACTTGATTATGGTTTCCTTAATATTCCTGTCTTGATTTTGGAAAAAATCTCATTTTCTTTTTATTTTCTTGTATAATCCATTGAAATAGGAGGGGAAGAAAAACCCATGTTAGACATTGATGACAACTGATATAAACACTTTCCTGTATATTTACCTTAGACAAAGTAGAGTTTAGAAGCCTCTCCTTCCTTCCCCATTTGAAATTTTTTTTATCATTAAAGATAGTCTTTTGATTCTCATGATTATGCAGTTGTAATAAGGAAATGATTTTATAATACAGTCTGAGACGATATCTACATAATCTGTTCATATTTGGGTGGAAAGTGAAGAAAACCACAATCTAATGATTGATTTTTAAATTTTTTATATCTTAACTTTTATAATTCTCTTGTAACATGCTAATATAAATAACACATTTACTGTGAAAAATAACTATTCTCCAAAATAAAAGCAAATTAGCAGGAAAAATGGCATCGCTTTTTACATATTTGTAAATCTCTTTCATGTCTAGCTTTATAGACGATATGGGTCTTCCTATCTTCGGTACCCAGCCTGTTGCAATGTATTATTTTGATTTGTTTTGTTTGAGGCAAGGTCTCTCTATCTAGTACAGACTGGCCTTGAACTTGCTGTGTAGCCCAGGCTGGTCTCAAACTTGAAGTACTCCTGCCTCAGCCTCTTTAAAGCTTGGATTAGAGGTTTGCATCACCATGTCTAGCACAGTATGTGTCTTTGACTGAAAAATTGGAAGAAAACCTGGGCTTATACAAAAATATAATTGGAAAAGAGAAGGATTTCTAACAGTCTTTTTAGGCAATTAGATACACCTGTTATATTACACCAAAATTTGTTAAATGATAATATCCTAAAGATTACTTCAATGTGGAATCTAATACCACGTCAATATACTTTTCTTACTAAGGCTACTTGTTTATTCTGTACTTGGCTCTTCATTCAAACTTAATTTTATAATATCATGCATGTATATTTGAAATATATTGGGGCTCTAAGCATTACTAGAATTTAAAAATGTTAACATATTTCATTATAAAGCATCAAAAGTCACATTAACACTTTTGGAAAAAATTTGTTTTTGGTTTTTGGAGATAGTCTATGTAGACCAGGCTGGGCTTGAAGTAGCTGTGTAGCCCAGGTTGGCCTCGAATTCATAGTCCTCCTGTCTTGTCCTGCTGAGCACTGGGATGACAGATATTTGCCACCATACCCAGCTAAGAGTCACTTGTTAATATTACCGTCAAGCTCATTAGAAAGTCTTTATATATTGAGAAGCTGTCAAGTTCATAGTAGTAAATGCCAATTTTCTAAAATTCTCACCTTTTGCTGCAAACCTTGAATCTTATCATTGGTGACAATCACTGTCAGTTGTTTGCCTTATTAATTCATTTTCAAGAAAATAGCTATTAAATCCCCAAGGTCAATAACCACAATTTATCTATCAGACATTCTTTCCAATACAAAAACAGGCAGGATATGAAAAAAAGAAGTGGCTGCTTTACTTGGCTACTGAAACTGTCGCTTAAATACTTTTCCTTGAGCAACTGTTGTAATTCAGATAGAACATTTAAAACGAATTTGTTTTTACAGTATTGGTGTTAAAGGTAAAAAGGTGTAAGTGTGGTACAAATACCTTGATTTGTACAAAGCCTCTTACAATTTTATTTACTACATCTCTTTTACATGAGCATCATAAATGTGAATATAATAGAAAAAGCTGAGAGCATCTCAGTACTTTTGTAAAAATGGTTTAGTCTCGGCATCTCAGATTCCCCGGGCCCCACTGACCTCTCTCCAAGAGCTGCTGGCTTAGTCATCTTGACACAGACGTGGGGAGATTCAGTCCACCTTCTGCTTTTTCAAAATTTTGAAGAAAATTTCAAAAAAAGCATATTAAATTTATGCAGCATTATAAAACAGTGACATAATTTTATCTGACATCCACATCCTTGAAATCATTTTTTACAAATTTCACTTTAAAGTTAAAAGTATAAAAGTTGCTGTTCCTACTTTTGGGTTTCTGGCACCTGGTAACCTGGAGTTTTTTTCTTCGTATCCCAATGCCTAACATTTGACAGAACACTAACAACGAAGTCAGAAAGCAAATCCATTCCCTTTCCAAAGGTGCTCAGAAATGCAGTCTCTTTTAAGGGGGGCACTTTTGGCATTAAAATTGATTTTGCAAATGCACGTATTACTTCATATCTTTTTTTTAATGATACTGGAGTTTAAGACCAGGGCCTTTGCACTGTGTTAGTCCCCTTCTCTCCTCTCCCCTCCCCTTTCCGCTCCTTTCCTTTGTTTTTATTTATTTTGAGATAGGATCTCACTAAATTGCAAAATTACCCAGGCTGGCTTGAACTTGCAGTCCTCCTGTCTCAGCTTCCCAGAGTGCTGCGATTATATGTGTGCACCACCAAAACCACCTTTATTCAATGTCTTGAAGTGTCCTGTGTATAATAATGGCAACTGTATTAGTTAACCGAACTCATGATTTGGTTTGATAGTATGGACACGGAAGGAATCTAGGAACTTGTACTCTGAAATCAGTAAGAGAATGTCCTAGTGGAGACACTTAATTACGCCTTTCTGTCTTTTCTTCTCATGGATTTAAAATAATGAAATCTTTCTTAATATATGCGATGTCTTTTTATTCATAGGTCTTGGATGTGGTTTATTATACACTGCAACAGTGACCATCACGTGTCAGTATTTTGACAGCCGCAGAGGCCTTGCACTTGGCCTGATTTCAACAGGTACGTTTCTCTTCTCTTATTTCCTTTCCTTTCCTTTCCTTTCCTTTCCTTTCCTTTCCTTTCCTTTCTTTTCTTTTTTTTTTCTTTTCTTTCCTTGCCTCCTTTTCCTTCTTTTTCTTTCTCCTTCTCTCCTTCCTTCCTTCCTCCCTTCCTTCCTTCCTTTTGTTTTTTGAGATAGCATCTCACCTTATAGCTCAGGCTGGCCTTGAACTCTCAATCCCCTCCTGCTTCAGCTTCCCGAGTGCTGAGATTACAAGTGAGTGCTACCACCCCTGGTTTACAACAGGTACATTTTCAAAATAAGTATTGTCATTATTTAGCCTTCTAAACAAAGACAGAATTTACCAAGCACAGATATGCATAGCCGTCACTTACCTAGTGTCTCAGGTAGCCAAATGATTCTTTTACTTTTCTCCTAGAATAAATATGTATTTCTTTTTACCATAAATATGAGAGTAGCTTTCAAAGGACACATGTGAAAAATCTGGGGCAATATATGTCCAGTGTAACATATGAAAAGGAAGCTTATGGGCTCAGTATATTGAGAGCCATATGCTGGTGAAGGCTTTGCTGACAGAACCGTGATGCCCTGTGAAGCACCTTATCCCTGAGGAAGGTAAGGGAAAGGGGAGGAAAATTGACAACCCCACGGCCACTGGCAAAAGGACTGATGCTGGCTGTCTCTTTCCTTGCACATATTGTGGAGCTTACAATTTCTCTACTGATTTCTGAACACATCTTACGGGCTTCTGTGCATATCCAAGCAACAGGCTGTGTACTCTTTTTTTTTTATTTTAAAAATAGAAGGAGGAAAACATTAACAGACAGACAACCTTTTACAAAATAGCAAAAGAACAGTACAGACAATACAGACTTACAAACAAAGTGGTAGGAAATTAACAGTGCTTGTTGTATTACGTATTAATATCTTCAAAGCAGGCTGTGTACTCTTATTATTCCTTTAACCATCAAGAGACGCTCACAGAAGAGAAATGTATGTATAAAATATAGATTCGAAATATGAAAGCCTTCTGGACTCCTCCATGGGTTTTAAAGGGCTGTTTCACTTTTCAGATCAATTTTTTAAAAGCTGTTTAGGGAACTTATCAAAATTTTTATGGCCAGTATTTTATGAGTTTATTTAGGGGACACAGCTGCCAAGTTACTGAAAGCTGTAAGTTTACATAAGCGACTCGTTAGCTGGCAGGTGTCCCTGGGAGGGCAGGCTCTTGGACAGGCGACGGGATGCACACACATGCTTTGTTCTGAGGCCATCCCAGGGCAGCGAGGGACTCCTGGATGAACTGAACGGCGTTGGCTCTGCACTTGTGGTAATTTAAGGAAGGCTTGCCAGGTGGGAAATGTGCACCGCGGTCCAGGAAGAGACATGTCCCAAGTTTGAGGTCATGGCCAAGGCAGAAAGAGGAGAAAGAGCACAAAAACAACAGAAGAGGAATGCAAAGCAGTTGGAATGCAGTTGAGAGAACCTGTTTGGATCCCCCACGAGTGTGTCAGGGGGCATAAGACGGGGTCTGACACCCCAGGGGATGCAAGGTCTCACCTGTACTGTTTTTGTGTGGAGGCAAAGCATGTAGAGTTACAACCCAGACCCGGGAGCCAGGCTGCCTGTTTTGAGTGCTGCTTGTCACTCATTAGTTCTCTGGAGCTGGGCAAGATACAGCTATTCTATCCCTCAGTTTTCCGAACTGTGAAGTGGGGGCAGTCAGAGGTGAAGGGGTTTTAGTTTTAGCTCACAGGGGGTGAGGCAAGTGAGGGGGAATCAGGGAGAGGGATGGCGCCACCAGTCAAAGAGATGACAAACAAAACAGAGTCACAGGAGAATAAAAAAAAAAAAAAACTCAAACCAAATTCTTTGACATAATGTAACCTAGTCAAAAGGAAAAATACAGGCATACAATGAAAGTTTTGGGGCACTCATTTTCCTCCACATTGACTAGGGGTTGGGAAACTTATGCCTATGGGTACAGTCTAGCCTACAGCCGTTGTTTGTCTGGCCCACAAATCAAGAACGGACTTTGCATTTTAAAAATGATTTAAAAAATCAAAAAAGAATATTTCATGACGTGGGACGGTCATGTGAAACTTAGTGTCTGTAAATTAATAGGGACACAGCCATGCCTGCTCCTGTGTGGGTCATCCGGGCTGTTGTCACGCTTCAAGGGCAGAGCTGCAGTATTGGGACTGGTACTGCATGGAGCATGGGCCTTAAATATACACTCTAATGCTTTACAGAAAAAGTGTATTGATCCAAGCCTGGCGTGATGAATCCACTCATGCTTAAGAGTTTCCGTTTTCCTGGGCATCACTCAATCTTTTCCCTTTTGTAGGAGTGTTTAATCTAGACGTGGGTGAAAGCATCATTCATGTTTTCATTTTGTCCATTACACTGATCGTTTTTCACTTAGGAGGATGTTCTTTTTAAATATTTAAAATTATAGTTTTACTGTTTAAAAGTTGTACAGAGAAACTTTTTTCTCCTGGCAATTCTGGGGATTAAATCTAGGACCTCATACACTGTAGGCAAGTCTGTACCCCTGAGCTACACACCCTGCCCCACAGGGAAATGTTTACTCTCTGTTGTCCTAAAAAAATTCCTACAGCTTTTTAAGCCTTCGCCCTGTTTTCATGGGATGTAGTCTAAGATAAGTAGATTGATTTTCCCTGCCTTTGTCATACAGTCAGCATATGGTAGGTGTTTGGTAAATATCTGTTGGATCGATTTGATGTGTTTCTCTTGTATATCATGATGTCGACATCCATTATCAGTGGAAAGTTATTTATTTTCTCAGATTAAGGTTGAAACTAGAACTTTCAAAGTACCCAGAATATTGTAAGTGTCTAATGGTGTAGCAATTTTGTAGAATCTGTTCAAAGACACAGTGATAGACCAGAATGACAGAGGCACAGTTATTGATTCTGATATAGCACCACAGTCTATAAAGCACCTAATTATACTCAGTACTTTCAGTTTATTCTAAAGTATTGCAACTTTCAAAGCATACACTACTTTTACAGAACTAAGGGAAGGATTAAATTTGTCTATTGTTACTTGTCAATGGTCAGCAAAGAGATACTGCTTAGTGTGGACCAAGATACTATCTTAGCGCCCAATACATTATCATAAACCATCAATTAATATACTCATGCAAAGATTCCTCTCTGGGAATGAAAAGGTAACTTGGAATATAGGAAGAAAGGACAACTGAATTCTGCCTCAAAAATATTTTCTTACAACTCTAAAATATAGAGCCAGTTGGTTATTTGTAAGAATTTTTCTGTTCATTCATTCATCATTCGTTCATAGTACCAAGGATCAAGCCCAGGGTCTGGTAGATATTAGAGAAGCCCTTTATTTCTGAGCTGTACTTCCATGCCTTTCTAGTTGTCTATTTATTTTTAATTTTGAAACAGGGTCTCCTAAGTTGTTTAGGCTGACATTAGACTTACAGTCTTCCTGCTTCAACCCCTAAAGTAGCTAGAATTGGGCTGAGGATTTAGCTCAGCGGCACAGTGCCTGCCTGGCAAGCAAGCACAAGGTCATGAGTTTGATTCCTGGTACTGGAAGAAAAACCAAAAAAAAAAAAAAAAAAATTAAAGTAACTAGAATTATAGGCATGTGCTACTGTACCCTGCAAGAATTTTTGACAAGCTGAAGTTTTACTTTATTTATTTTTTTATACCACTCAGGTTTGAACCCAGGGTCTTTGCACTGAGCTACATCCCCAGCCCTTAATTTTTTTCCCCTCAATTTTGAGGCAGGATTTTACTAAGTTGCTCAAACTGGGCTTCAGTTTGATGTCTGTCCATCTCAGCTCCTGAGGAACTGAGATTATAGGCATGTGCCTCTATGCTGGACAGTGCGATGGGATTTCACAGCAAGCGTATTCATGCCGTCATCACACCTCTGAGCTTGGTCCCAGTGTTGTCCTGTTGGGGAAACTCTGTCATTTGGGATAGATCGTTTGATATGTATGATCATTTAGACTGCTTTCTTTTACTGATCTTTTATTTTTTCTTTCTTTTTTACATAACATTTCCTGAAGATGTTTAAGTTTTAAAATATTCAACATTTTATAAGTGAAAAGCAGAACCAGATAAGAACAGTGCAAATTAATTGGGCTGATATAACTTGGCATTCTGGCTTGTTTAGTATGATCAGTACTGCAAAAGGGGGCTATTTACCTGGTTGCATGATGTAGAATTTGTGGGCTATCAAATTCCCATTTACTGTTATATTATTAATGCATAGAAATGTAAATCATTTATTCTGGTGAAGTAGCAATGGATTTAAGCTATCAAAGTCTTACAGATATCCTGAAACTAACCTATATTATTTACCTCAAGATAAAATATGGAAATTTGCTTTCCCACATACAGTAAATATATATAGCATAGGGCCCAGCACATAATAAATGCAAAACAGTAGCTTCATAATGATGTCCGCAAAGACTGTGGGCTCCTGTGGTCAGACTAAGTGTGAATCCTACTTATGTTACTTATAGTGTTGTGATCTGTGGCAAATGTCTCAAGCTTCTCAGATCTCAGTCACTTTATTTGTGGATTTGGAGTAATAATAGGATCTATTCAATAGGATTATTAAAAGGATTAAACAAGATAATGCAGCATAAAGTGCTTAGCACTATCAGAACTATAAGTGAATACTATATTGGTATTTCTGTTATTGTTGTTATGGTTATCCCATTTTGTGACTTTAATAGAAAAGTGCATGGCTGGGCATGATGATGTACACCTGTAATCCCACTTGGGAGGCTGAGGCAGGAGGATTGCTGTGAGTTTGAGGTTAGTGTAGGCTACATAGTGAGTTCAAGGCCAGCCTGAACTATATAGCAAGACCCTGTCTCAAAAAACAAAGAAAAAGAAATATATATATATATATATATAAGTAAAGGTACATGTGAATGCCAGTGTAAATGATGATGCTTGATGTGGGAACCCCAAAGTAAGAGATGAAGACTGAAAAGCTCCCAATTCCCTTTTAGGTTCAAGCGTTGGCCTTTTTATCTATGCTGCTCTCCAGAAGATGTTGATTGACTTCTACGGGCTGGACGGCTGCCTGCTGATTGTCGGTGCTTTAGCTTTAAATATATTAGCCTGTGGCAGCCTGATGAGACCCCTGCAGACCCCTAATTATCCTTTGCCTGAAAAACCAGCTCCAGAAAATGTGCCAGACACATACTGCATTTACAACGAGAGAGAAAAGAACCTGGAAGAAAGCATAAACATTCTGGAGAAGAGCTACGGCAATGAGGCCAAGTGCAAAGGCACATTGGCCAACGGTGCCTGGAAGCAGGAGAATCTTCTTCTTAAAAGCCCCACAGCAATGGCACCTGCAAAAGAACCTGAGACCTACCGACAGAAAGTTGCCAGACAGACATATTTTTGCAAACAGCTTGCCAAGAGGAAGTGGCAGTTGTATAAAAACTACTGTGGCGAGACTGTGTCTCTTTTTAAAAACAAAGTATTTTCTGCGCTCTTCATCGCTATCCTGCTTTTTGACATCGGGGGGTTTCCGCCTTCACTGCTGATGGAGGATGTGGCAAGAAGTTCCAGTGTGAAAGAAGAGGAATTTATTATACCTCTTATCTCCATTATAGGCATTATGACCGCCGTTGGAAAACTCCTCCTAGGGATTCTGGCTGACTTTAAGTGGATCAACACTTTGTATCTTTATGTAGCTACGTTAATAACCATGGGCCTGGCCTTGTGTGCAATCCCGTTTGCCAAGAGTTACGTGACACTGGCAATACTTTCTGCCATCCTAGGGTTCCTCACTGGTAATTGGTCCATCTTCCCATACGTGACCACCAAGACTGTGGGGATTGACAAATTAGCGCATGCCTACGGAATATTAATGTTCTTTGCTGGACTCGGAAATAGCCTTGGACCACCAATTGTTGGTAAGATATTTATCTTCAGAGCAACCTAGTTTACACTTCTGTATTGTCATTGCTCCAGATGTAGAAATTCAGATTGTAAAAACAGCATAGATTTGCAAAGGATAAACTGTGATGTACTCATGATCACCTTGTTATAGTTTAGTAAGCCAGTAGACTTTTTCTGTCTTTATAGTCATTCTTTTATTTGGGAGAAACTCAGAGTGCTTGCTTCTTGTCTAATTTTTTTTTTTTTTTTGGAAAAAAAGAGTATTTCCATTTATGACTATTAATTTTACAAAATATTAGGTTTCAGTGCATTTTTGTTGTTTTGGTTTTGTCACTGAGGACTGAACTCAGGGCCTTAACAGCGAACTACATCACCAGCTCTTTTTTAAATTTATTTTATTCTGAGATAGAGTCTTGCTATGCCACTAAATTGCCCAGGCTGGGCTCAAACTTGTCATCCTCCTGTCTCAGCCTCCAAGAGTGCTGAGATAACAGGCATCCACCATACCTAGCTTCAATGTGGTGTTTTTATATGTGAGTATAATGTATTTTGATCAAATTCATTCCCCATTACCCTCCATTAAATCCACCTTATTGTCAAACTATTTGAGAATCACCTCTTCCGAAGCCCAGTTGTTCACTCTGGAGTAGTACTGCGCTCCTAACTGTATATACAATTGTTTAAACTTAGAGTATGGCTTGACATTCATACTATTTCTAAGAAACTCAGTTTTGTTTTACTGTCTTTTCAGGTTGGTTTTACGACTGGACCCAGACCTATGACATTGCATTTTATTTCAGTGGCTTGTGCGTCCTGCTGGGAGGTTTTATTCTGCTGCTGGCAGCCTTGGCCCCCTGGGATACGTGTAAAAAACAACTTCCTAAGCCAACACCAACAACTTTTTTGTACAAAGTTGCCTCTAATGTTTAGAGGGATATTGGAAGACACTATTTTTTTGCCATTTTATACCATATCGCAAAAAATATTTTGACAATTTTCAAGCAGGCTCTCTTGAGTCAACACTGTTTTCTCATAGCAGACTTTGACGGTGGCTGACTCTGAATGCATTTTTAAACTTTTTATATATCCTACTCTTTATATATTCTGTGTGTAGCCTTTATCCCCTGTACCGCTCTCCCCCAAGAAATGGAACTATTTTTTATTGTTGTTCACTAGTTCTTAACATCGTAAAACTTTTGACCAGCCTCTGAAGGCTTTCTCAGTGGAAAGTATGGATTTTCTGCTGACTCCTCTGTTCTCCTGCAAGGGGCCCAGTATCTCTTCTGTTTTGAAGCTGGTGCAAGCCTTGTGATGGGCATATGTGAAGGCCACTGGGCGATAAATCACTCTGTGGTTGACCTTCTCCTCAACAGGCTCCCAGCCACTCCATCAGGAAGTGAAAGTAGTTATAAAACAGCATCAAGACTTGCAGTGCAACAAATGGATCATTTAAAAGCCTCTTTTATAGTCATCCGTTTTCATTATTTTATTTTACTTGCCTTGCTTTAGCACCTCTGTGTGTCTGCTGCCTTCTGCACCGGAACGTTTCACCTAAGGTGTTTGCTGGGGTGCAGGCGGACTCCAAGCAGAGGAGCAGCCTTGCTTCAGGGCTGGCCGTAGACCCTGGCTCAGTCTGTCAGCATCCACTCCGCTGGCGCTTCCCAGAAAGTGCTGCCTTTACCTGCTTTCAAGTAGGAAATGCATTTTGGACCATTCCATGTGGCAAACGGGGCACCTCCGTTTGTTTTTGGCACAGTGGGGACGGGTTACAAGTGCTTGTACATCTTCCTAATGAAGCCTTTGTTTGCCACAATCAGATTTTCCCACCATCACATTTTAATTCAAGTGCAGAACTAAAAAGTGAATATGTGGTGTGTGTGTGTGTGTGTGTGTGTGAGTGAGCTAAGTCTACGTGGGACATGGGAAGGGGAAAAGGCCATCAGAAATTGAGCCCCTTTGCTCAAGAAGAAGTTCTCGGAAGAAAATGTTGAATAAATTGCTATTTTCCCCCCAGAGAAATGGGTTTTAAACAATGGTGTGCAATGGAATCCCTTATTGATCCTTTAAACATATAGGTGCCTGGGTGCCACACTTAGAGATTTTCATTTAATTCTACAGATCTAGGCTGTGGCCCAAAACATCTGTATGTTTAACAGGTTCAGGTGATTCTGATAACGTAGTCTGGGGTGAGAATGGCTGTTATGAGATTGGCCATAGAGAAACATTTATTCTAAAAAAAAAAAAAAAAAAAAAAAAGCCATGAGGTCAGGGGCTTTTAATAAATAAATAACCAAGTGTTCTTTAAGTAAGAGGCATCCTTCCCATTGTGCCAAATTTGTCTTCATTTCTTTTGAAATACATGATTGTTTTATCCTCTACTTCTATGTTGCTTTCCTTCGAAGGCACCTGAAGCACTTTAGTAGCATGAGACCTCACAGTGCCTCTGTGAGTAGGTAAATTGGACTTTCCTGTGTAGAATGGAGAATTCACGAAGGAGTTAATCCTGCTCAGTAATGCAATAACGGGGCTTTGGGGCACCTCAGACCTCTGCTCCATATGTTCAGACTTCTGGAAAGTTTTCTGTACCTCATTGTTAGTCACTGAAAAAGTTAGTAAATAAAATAAATGATGTTTAAAAGAAAAAATTATGTTTTTGTGTTGAAAGTTCCTTTTTTTCCAATATTACATTTGAGAATATCCAATAACCTGAGAAGTTTGACTTTTATGACCTCTTCACGTTCATCAGTGTTGATAATTGTCCAAATATAACATCATTGTATCTACTAATGTCATCCAGTGTATGCATTATCCACTGTTTAGGGAATGAATTTTAAGCTACCATAAAATATTTTTGTTTGTTTTGCAACAGTTTATTTTTTAATTTTTTTTTTTTTTTTTTTTTTTTTTGAGACAGGGTTTCACTGCTATGTAGTTCAGTCTGGCTTTGAACTCATTAGGTAGTCTACACTGACCTGGAAATCACAGTAGTCCTCCTGCCTCAGCCTCCCTAGTGCTGGCATTACACCTAGTGCTGCCACCACGCCTGTCCCACATCAGTTTAGTTGCTTTCTTTCCTCTTTCCCTAATATAGTGACACTTCACTTGAATGTAAGTGTATAAATTATCTGATGTAATTCAGATTCCAGAATTTGATGGTCAGTCAAGAAGAGCATGCTCAAAATTAACTACCTTGATGCTTTCAAACAGCTGACAGGTCAGGCCTGCATAATGCTCTTGAGAAAAAGAGGAGATGTTCCTCTCTGACATTATTAATAAAGATCTCATTAATCATTTATTCAATTCTCTCTTTTTTTTTCCTGTTCAAGACAGGGTATCACTGTGTTGCCCAAGCTGATCTCAAACTCCTGGGCTCAAGCAATCCTCTTACCTCAGTCTCCCAAGTAGTGATATTAAAGTCTCAAGCTTCCAAGCCTGGTTTAATGAGTTATAGAATATTTTAATATGTTCCAAGCTTGTATTGTTTATACCCAATGATAACCCTGTAAACTAGAGATTATGATACTCTTTATGATGAAAAATATGTCATAATGATCTGAGCAACATATTATAAAAGTACAAGTAATTTCCAAAAGCAAAATAAAGATTTCACTTTCTAAAAATCAAAATAAGCCCTTGGATTTCGAACGTGGCTGGGAAATAGGGGCTACATGGCAGGGTTGCTATCGAGCCCATTTTCTTAGCGAATAGAGAAGTCACTGTCATGTAAATATTTTTTCAGGACTTGTCCATATCCCTAGAATTGACATTTTAAAAACATGCTTAACAAAATATACATTGATTAGAACAAAATCTTTCTGGGCTGGGGATATAGCTCAGTGGCATAAGCGCCTGCCTGCCAAGCACAAGGTCCTGAGTTTGATTCCCGGTACAAAAAAAACAATAAAATCTTGCTTTCGTGACTCATACTTCTGGACCTTGGGAGTAACTCGGGCCAAGTTTGGGGAAGATAAGAAGGGACAGTTTACCAGCGGCCCTCCCTGACTTCGCTTCAGCAGCTCCTACCCTTCTCTGCTTCCACCTTCTCCCTGATGAGCCTCCAAGGGGCTAGGTGGTGTCTAATTCCCTGCAGGGCAATCAGGAGAGAGGTAAAGTTCCCAGGAGGAACAATCCCCGAGAACTAGGAGTTCCAGCACTGGGAGGTCATGACCGAGTGTAAGTGCTGATGGAGAAGTTCCATGACCTTGCGTAGCCTTGACTGCCACCAATTACAGTAGTGTGGGATTATCCACTTGCAGAATGTTCCCGGAAATGAAAGAGAGCTCTATTTTGAAGAAAAGAATGTCTCATTTCCTTTTTTATTTTAGGATATCGAACACATAAAATACACAGTTTACATTAGCAGCACTGTGCCTACAATTTCCTCATAAGCATAATCCTGGGAACTTCTCCTATGGGGTCAGTTGTGTGTGAAGGACATGAGATCTGTCTGTGAGTAACAAGTCAACCACAGCTGGATACGGTGATCAGAGACGGATGAACACAGTGACTGTTGGGGGATGCAGTATCCATACTCATGAGGGTTATGATTTCACACCCAGTGGCTTGGGTTCAAATCCTGTAGCTGGGTGACTTTAGCAAATTATTAGCCTCTCAAAACCTCAGTTTCCACGCTTATAAAAAGCACCCTAGGGTTATAGTGGAAATTAAATACGACAGTATATAGGGATGCTTGACATATGATGGGTGTCCAGTACTACTCCTATTATTTTCACTGTCTTTTTTCTTGAGAACAGGGCTTCCCAGTGGTGTATCTAGGGAGGCATTCACTGTCCCTGGGCACAAGTGTGGGATAAATATTTGTATTCGAGGGCTTAATTTAGAAGCAGAACAATGAGTTTCCTGCTATTCCCAACTTGTACAACTGTCATGGCTCTTGTCTTCCCTCTAGCTTACCCTTGTCAGAATCTTTTATCCTTAGGAATTTGTGACTCAGCACATTTTTCTGGATTTGCCAGAAGCTCAGACACAAAACAAAACCCACGCTGTTTAACTGAACTCACTGTGTGAGTTGAATTGCCCTGAGAACACGAACTTGTATGTTTTTGCCCTCAAGAGCTTCCATATGAGCTGCTTAGAAGGTGGGCCTGAACTGGGTAGGAAGAAAAATAATCCAGTTTGTTTACTGAGCACTAATTGGCTTCGGCTCCGCTGCCTGCCCAGGAGGCTTTGAGATTCACTCTTGAGGGAGTTCACTAACTTGCCAAATCTTCTGGGATTCTATTTTTAGCAGATCCCGGCTGCATTAGTTACTTTATGCCACATCCAGTTCTTATTCTATAGTCATTTACTTTTATACTTTTCCCTTACAAAAAAGGAAAAAAAAAAAACCTTTGTTGTTGCTTTTTTGTTTTTTGTTTTTTGAGACAGGGATTCACTATGTAGCTGGGGCTGAGCTTGGACTCAGTGTATAGCCCTAGCTGGCCTTGCACTGGTGCCCTCCTGTCTCATCCTCCTAAGTGCTGGCATTACAGGCGTGCACCACCATACATGGTGGGAAAAAAACCTTTCATAAATTTTGTTTTTACTAAGTGGTATTCTAAAACCTTTGATCAGTGACATTTTCGATAAAAACTAACTAGCTCTGATCAAGCTACCCTGCTATAGGTCACCTTAAAGCTACATGGCCACCACATGGATCTATTCTTCCTAGAAATATTTGTAATATGATTAAGGAAGTTGTTATTACTCTGGCTTAGATCTGAAAATTCCTGAATGCTTGCAGCTTTAATAGGAGATTCCTAACCGTAGCTCAATGACTCTTAGCCCCTAACAAAGGAGAGTGGTATTTTCTGGAGAGAAGGAAGTCCTTAATTAGCTTCCTGCGTGAAAACTCTGTTTCATATTTAGTTTCTTACCTAGAAATCCCTGGAAAACTTGTACTCCAGTACAGTGGGATAATGGCATGCAGGAGGGAGACATCTTTCCTGAGGTTTATTATGTGCCCAGTATTGTATTCATATTGTATCATATTCAATATTGTATCATTCAATATTATATCATTATCATTCAATATGTATCATTCAATATTGTATCATATTCACAGCCCTATGAGTCCTTGTCTCATGCAAGATGGAAATCAACAATGGACTGGTTCTAAAAAAAATAAAATGTGTGGAAAAGGACATTCTTTAGTTTATCTTTCAGTGTATTACCTATTTGCGACTTCAGGCCTGACCAAGCCATATGATTGTGTGATTCTGGAGGAAGTCTAGCAAAAGCGTTAGTGTAAAAGGAAATGATAGCAGGACCTGTGTCCCTGTGGAAAGCCGAGGGACACTAGATGCTTTGCTGAGATGTGCCTGCAGGAATGATAACATGATGGCTAACTAAGTCAAGTCTCATTCCTGTGAGAATTGAGTTGTATTGTCCTTGCTAAACCTGTTAATTATTCCTCCCATTTGCCTGGTTGCTGCGTTTGTTAGCATCCCAGTAAAAGGTTACAGAAAATGGTAATCAAGGCTTCAGTCCCAGAGGCTGAAGCCCCCTGATCCCATAACTATCTCTGTCTTGTTTTTCTTTTCACCCGCAGCACCTCGTTCTCAGGACCTGTCACCCCAGACAGAAACTGACTATACACCAACAAAAATGCAATTGTATTATAGGAAAGAAGCACAGCTGGCTACCCCGTCAGCAGAGCGGGGTAGAACAGCAGATTTAGTCCACAGACAGACGTTCCACAGAAAGGACAGCAGAACAGACTGTTCCATGGACAGAACAGCACTAAACAAAGGAAATCTTTTGTTTTTGTGGGGTCTCACAGGAGTGTCATACACCATTCACAAGTTTTTTTCTAAAAGGGAGGGGGATCTTTCTCCAGCAGTGCCACAGTTTGCCTCTGATTAGCCAGTTTCTTTCCTTTTCAAAGGTGCAGTGGCTTGCCCCTCTGAGTAACCCCTTTTTATTTCTTCCTTACCACCCAAAGTGCAGCTGCCCGCTTGCTTTTCACCAGGCAGTTACTTTAAAGTCCTGACAACCCCAGCCTCAGTTTCAGCTCCCTCACAAACAATATCTTGTCCTGATGAAGTTCCAAAGGCTTTGTCAAAGCTGGTGTCTGGTGCCAACCTTTCAGGACATTTGGAGTCTGACCCGCTCTTGGCAGCTTCGGGCAGTTCATTCCTTATTCATCTAATAAATCTGAGCCGGGCTGACAGAATGTGTAAGCCGTCTCCCAGGTGCTGAAGAGGAAACAGTGACTAAGGCGGACAGAGCTTCTGAACTCTTTGAGTTTGTCAGGACCCTGCAGGGAGTCAGGAGAAGTGAGACCACGTACCGCTGTCACAGAAGCCTCACCTCCCTGAAGAACTGGAGGTGGAACGGCTCCCCGGCATTGTCGCGAAGAGTTACGTCCCATCAGACTCATGCTAAGATTCCCCAAAATGGACCGAGGGGCCAAAATGCCAATCCATTCCCTTGTATGAGCAATCTAACAGCCGAGAGGACTGTTCGCTGGATGGCTGCATGTTCTCTATAGGCAAGTCCAACAGGAACTAGAGAACAATCAGAAGCTGTCTGAGGTTCCTGGGGTCAGGGTCTTGGATGGCTTGTTTTGGGGGAGTTTTCTATGGCAAAAAATTTTTATCATACAATACTGGCTTTTAATATAGAATTTGTCTTAAGTGAGTTGGAA